TCGTCAATCATACGGAATCTGCAATTTCTATAAACATGCCTCACCCGGTAATGTCTGCTGAAATAATGTAATTTGGAGAAAACTCGTTATAGTACTATTTGAATTTACTCATTTTTACATTTATATACCTGTATATCCGCTGATACGCTTCGTCACGTGCTGCGAAGAGCCTTCTCTAATAAAGATGTTTTCTGGAGCTCCCATTAAAACTAAATTGCTATGAAACCAAAGAGCAAAAGACACACTTCAGAACTTCCGCTTCAGGCACGCTTATCACAGGTGAATGTAACATACTAGACTGTGACGTCACGCGTTGGTATGACCACGTATGAGTGTAATGTTGTCTGAAAAAACCTTGAAGTGTCTGGCATGTTCCAGATAGTCCCAAACAAATAGGCGGACAGCGAATTGATAAACCACGATACGAATGATATATCAACAGTTTGACACGCTCACATTGAGACCACGTCATTTTGCTGGGACGGTGATTAAAATGGCGCTAGAATGTTGAAGTGCCTTCATTTTCTACCACCAAGCAATCCTTGCAAGTAAGATCCCTAAATAAATCCGAATTCGTCCTTACCCTGGAAAGATTGCTTATTATGGTTGACCGAAATTGGTTCTACCAAAGAATGAGGCTATCACCGTCAAAAGTGCACTTTTGTCGTTTCATGGTCACAGTTTGAAACGGGGTGTAACTGTATTCTTCAAGACCTTGTTCAGCCCAAATGGAGGCACTAGCCTATTTGAGAGGTGAAACTCACTGGAATGGAAATAAATTGCACTAAAAATTTCTTTTTCACGATTCAGTTTCCATTGTCATGATCATCTTTGAGACATTTGATTAGATTCAGCGACAAATACTACACTAATATAGTTGATATTTTTGCCTGCATAATAAGCAAGTTGAATTTTTCGTTAACACTTGGAACATGGCTACTGAGTGCAGTACATCATCATCATCATCATCATCATCATCATCATCATCATCATCAACAACAACAACAACAACAACAGCAACAACATCATCATCATCATCATGGACAGCACAAAACCAGTGTTCAACACTGATGCTCCACTTCCGTACAGCCATGATTTAATTGGAAGCCTTACTGTGAATAAAAGAATGAAGATGAATGGGGGATGGACTTGGTGCTAGCTTACTACAATCATTCCGAGGTGCCTACACTTCCGGAACTCACTCAGGCAATCTGGATAGAAACTGACAACAAGAATGTCACTGATGTCGGCTAGCAGCCATATCTTTCAGCGTCTCCAACCAGGCGCAGTGCAGATTACGCGGTCTCCATTCTGGAAGGCGAGTCGCACTGACAACACCCAAACATTTCGTAATCTCTTTCATACTCTCCTCTTCCAGGCCAAGGGATGTCCAGCTCAGTGCAACACAAATGAAATTTATAAAAGCGGCTTAAAATACAAAGCTTCCAGACATTTTTGTTCAGATTAAAGTGCAAGCAACTGACACGTTTCATCTAGTCACTCCCTCTTTGTTTGCGTGATTGTTGTAATCTGAGCCAACTTTCCTGAAACCTCTTTTGAAATTTCACTAACCTTTTTAATAGACCTACAGCTTGGACGACCTAGTTTTTTTGCGCGACCTGCGGAGTCTCAGCACACTCGCTACAGGTTGCAGAATAAACAACGGGTCGTGCAGTGTTTTTTTGACAGACAATTGAAAGCAGAGTTCCCATTCTCTCAATCCTAAATATATTTTTGACTTCTACAAGCCAGTAGAGCCAGTCTAGATCGTAAAGAGTATGTACAAACAGACGGGTACTTAGATGTGAGCTACTTGAATACATAGTTGTCCTTATGGCCAGATACAGTACTTACGAAGCAGATGAGTTAAAAAGCTCGGTTCTTCCATCACGTACTGCTTTTGAAATGTTCCGTTGAGACAAAGAATTTTTCAGCTAGAATCAAGTACTGTAGACAATGAACTATAACCGGTAAGAAGGGATTCATTGCTGAGTGAAATTCTCACTTCCACAATGGATTGAATGTAGAGTGAAACCTGGGCGAGTCAGCTAATTTTCTGTTCCTCCTTTCAAGATGTAGTGCAAAGGTGAAGTTGATGGCTTAATAAGGATACAACTGACCTCTCGTTACAATGTTTCCCCACTTGCTATTTTTGTGATGCATTCAATGGTTCAGAATCTCTGAGGATCAGGTGCTCACTAGCCCATTTTTCAAAATGAGTAAAATTTGCCGTTTAACCGGTGAGAGTCTAGAAGGTTATAGAGGATTAATGACACGTAGAACGTCTGGTTGTCATGCCAACTCATCGACCAGTAGCTGTCCGTCTTATCACACGCGCTGATTTTGAGGCCGTTTTCAAATAGCCCAAAAATCTAAGCTCCTCAGGACCCGATGTTTCTATTTCCATTTGGTTTCAGCACATTCAACCGTCTTACAATGGCTTACGGTGGCAATCCAGTGAGTTGAATTTTACCGTCGGTTTTTCGTTTATTAACGCTGGAACACTGAAATGATAAGACCTTTGAAGTTACTATAGGTTTTCGTCATATTTGCGGTGTGCCCTTTAGTTGCAGAACTGTCAAACTAAAACATTTGGAAGCCTAGGGCACATAAGGATTGGCTTTGCTTCTAAAATGAAAGCCCATGCAGAGCAAGTGTAACTGTTATTTTCAAAACTCCAGTGAAAAGATAGGTTCCTAACAAGGCCCCGGTCATTTACCATGCGTTCTTCAAATAAGAGCAGGAGTTCGTGGTGTTTTCCACTGTTCAGGTGTTCGAATTCAACTAAACCCCCCAACATTCTGGCCTGCCTATAATTCGATGTAGCCCAAAATTCCAGGCATTCGATTATGACTCATCACATGTGTTGCTGTACTGACTTCGCACTGTCTTCGAACACTCTGGTAAGGGCGACAAGCAGCCTTAAGTTCAAGGAAGTCCTGGATTCAACCTATTATGAGCAGACCTGATGAGATCTACTGAGTCGCAAGCAGTCTGAGCTCGCTTACAAGCGGATCATTCACGCTCTTTCCAAAACCAACCTACCAAATGATCTGTCCAAATGCATCCCATTGGTGATAATTTTATTCGAGCCTTATCATGAGTTCAGGCTTTTTTGTCCTTGAACTGGGTGGATGGGCGCCTGGAGTGGGCTTGGTTTCAAGAAATTTTAGTGATGTAGGTGAGACGGGGGTGTGAAAAATCTTGAATGTGGGCTCGAGCACACATGTAGTGCTAACGAAATTGCAGAGAACCCGGACGAGTTTTGATATTTGGTTTACCTGACGAGATCGCGGACCTTGCCGCGTGTCGCACATGTGCACAAGAGCCACACAAGTATCCACAGCACCCATGTGTTACGGATGTGTTATGAGCATCTTGTGTAACTTCTACGGCTAAACCAGAGGTTGATATGGCCCGAAATGTTCTGGCCCAATGTGGAAGACATTGGAAAGCTCACTAATATCTCGAGTCCTTCTCGAAACCTTCGCTTTCTCTTTCGCATTATATGTACTCAGGTTAGCTGGTGACATTATCGAAAAGAACTGGAACAGAACAATTCCCTCACATCGCCATAAATACTTTAGTGTTACGTAGAAGTATTGTTCATTCCTCGAAGTCAGCGTCACGGTAGTTGTGAAGGCGGTTACGTATTTGCCTAGATTGATGCGCGTATGTTGGTCGAAAACGAAGTTCTTTCTGCTACTGAAAAGAATAGCCTGCTTTTCACAGATACAAAGTTACTGGGTATGTGTCAAAACGTATAAACACTATTTCTGGATCAGACTACGTGGCTCAGGTAGCCGAAAACCGGTATGCACAGTGAATCCATGCCGCCGAAGTCGTGTTCCACCATCGTTCGCCTCTGCACGTTCGACCTAGAATCATGTGAACTGGAATTAAATATCGGTCACACGGCCGTGCTTTGCATACCACTCACAGTACCCCACACATTTTACGTTCAGTCAGAGCGGGACAGTAGTCACCGGGGTCCGTGTGGCCTGTGTGGATCTTGTGAGGTACAACATTTGGTGAGAGCTGAACAGACAACTGCAAAAGCGTGTTTAGGGTGCGTATCACTCAGTCACTGCTACTTCAAAGGCCGAAACCTTGACAACCGGGTGGAACGAGAATTACTGCAGCTGGTCGGTCACAGTTTACCGGCTCATGTTTTGGGCCTGGCTGTGGTACAAAATCCTGACTACTGGCTGGCTGCGGATACGTCAAAAGTTAAGCATTCTTTTTTCTCTCATTTCACTGTGCTCAAACTCTGTGCAAGCGGATCAATAATTCGCAAATTATGGTCGGAGTATTTGAGTCTTGACTAAACTCAAGAAAGATTATCATTGATGGTCAACTGTGGTCCTAGTCTTGAAAAGTACTATAAATTATTTTTGCCGGTGTTCATAATCGTCTGCAGCTAGAAAAAACCACGTACATGTTATGCAGTGTTTATATCTGCTATCCAGTATTACCCAATCGGCTTGCTCTACATACTATTTCGAGGTTGACTGCTAGTCTTTTCCGATCAATCTTACTGCGTTTTAAATGCGCTCTTGTGCTCGGAGAAAGAAATAGAAAAGGATGAACGTCAGTACGCGTTTGTATAAATTTGTATACACTCCGGAATGAAAGGTTACGCAATTTCAAAAATATCAGTATTGAAATAAGGTCTGCGGTCGAAAATGGCCGCGAAGTTGACCTAATAATCATCACGACTCAGTTCATTTGATAATAGATTACTGTTCACACTGACTAGGCACGTCCTGCATTAGGTGTATCTGCTACCGATCAGTCGAAGAACCACATGACGATAGGTTTCAGTCACATGATTTACGAAACGCACCGGTAAACAAGCCACTTTGATTGGTCATTCTGAGAAAAACAGTTTTGATCGATCAACTAATTAACGCACATCCACCAATGGACAGTAAGGATTCTATGGTTAGCATTCTCTTTCACGTCAGTCATGCCTGGAACTGAGAAGATTAGCTGAACGATCAGAATGCAGCCAGGCGACTACAGTGCGTGGAATTTAGGCGGCCAGTTACCTCAAGGACAGTATCCAAACTGTCCAAGTGGATATCCACCAGGGTCTGGTTATCCGAATGCTCCACCTTACGGTTATCCAGGCCAGTTCCCAGGTCAGACGCAGCCAGGATATCAGCCCTATTCGGGATTAGCAGGTCAACCACAATCGTATTATCAGCCCCAACCAGGGTATGCAGGCCAGCCGCAGCCGGGATACCAACCTCAACCGGTGTTCGCAGGTCAGTCACAGCCATGGTGTCAACCGCAATCGGGCTACACATGCCAACCAGTTTGCGTAAGTGGAATAAATTCAGTTGGAGTTTGGATGATTTTGTAACCTTTTTTTGGACGTGTAGCACAACAACAGCACAACCTGTATATCGTTCCTACATTATTTAGTGCAATCCAACACTGAGACCTTACCCCAATTTCAACCCGGACCAAGACTGCGATAAACTTCGCAAAGCCATGAAGGGCGTGGGTACAGATGAGAAAGCCATCATCGATGTACTGGCGCATCGAACAGCGGACCAACGCGTGCAAATCGTGAAGAAATTCAAAACGGCATATGGGAAGGACTTGATTCACGAACTCAAATCTGAACTCACTGGCCATTTCGAAGACGTGATTGTGGCGATGTGTTACACTTTGGAGGAGTTTGATGCTCGAGAATTACGCCGGGCAATGGAAGGAGCGGGCACTGATGAACAAACACTGATCGAAATCCTGTGTTCCCGCAATAATGCTCAGATAAAAAAAATTAAGGAGGTTTATCACACTAGTAAGTCAACTGTTTGTGATGTTTGAAGCTACACCTGTTCTGTTGATCATCCTTCTGACTAATTTGGAGTTGCAAGAATAAATGGATTTAGACCTCCTAGACCAAGTAGAATATACGGTTGGCGGAAGCTTGAGCACTGCCCCTACCTGATGAGCCCCAAGAAGAGCGAAACCGTCAGTGGGCTGTCTAAGAGTTTTCAGCAACACCCTTTTTTGTATTGCGTCTATACAAGGAATCGCGGTATCTAGAATATCGGGTCAACTGTAACATGAGGTGGCCTGGTGCAGCAGATTAGGTTGCTTAAAAACATCATGAACGAGAGATTCAGATGGTTTCCAGGTGAGTCAAAACCAAAATGGTATGCAATTAAAGAGTGCAGTTCGCTAATTTCGTGCGATTTGGGTTCAAGTAGAACATAAGGTTGACAGAAACTCGGGGACTGCGCCTACTTAATGAACTCCAAGAAGAGTGAAACAGTTCGTGGACTGCCGCCGAGTATTCACCAACCTTGTGAGTAGCGTGTTACGTCTATACGACCTAGTTAAATTATGAGCTACTTGTTACTGACAGGTTTGCTAGTGACGCGTTCTTCCAGAATCCCGACACGCTTCAGATACCTGCTAAATATTGCAGTGCTTTCACTTGCTCTTCACTAACAATTGCGTCTGGTTTTTCTCAGTCTTCAAGGGTCGTGACTTGGAGAAAGATCTGATGAATGAAACTCACGGACATTTTAAACGCATTCTCATCAGCCTGGTGCAGGCCAATCGGGACGAGAACCCCAACGTTGACATGAATGCTGTTAATGCCGATGCCCGTGCACTGTACGAAGCTGGGGAGAAGCAGTTGGGAACAGATGAATCAACGTAAGTTTGTTTGAACGTTCCATTTACTTTGAGATTTAAAATGTAACTCTGAGCGCAGAATATGTATATATGTGTATGCATATATATATTATATATATAAATATATAATGAAGGGAGAAGTAACACGTATGAAGTTATGCATTCTAACTAACTTTTTACCAAAATAGATTTATTTTGAAGTAGTGAGTCTATGCATGAGCCAAGCCTTTCCGGTTTCTACTGTTTAGAAAGCAATAATACTGATATACATTTCAAATAAGGTCCAAGGAATAGCACAGGAAATTCGAACGACAAATCAGTTTGAGAGCTTGGACTAGTTTTGTTCTCATAGGCCGTAGATGTGGTTCTAAACATCTTTAACGATAGCAAAGGCACTTCAATCCTGCGAAATAACGTCCTGTATTACAAAGCATAATTAAGAGGTAGAAGACCTTATTCATCGTAGCTGGCGATCGTTGAATCAGGCAATCTGGGTGGAAATCAACGCTGAGAATTCCATTGAGACCCGCAGAAGAAGTGAATCACACATTGCTCATAGGTTTCCACAAATTTAAAGTGCAGAATTAGTTGCCTCATCTTTCGGACACCTGACTGCTCAGCTTTCGCTGTTCAGTCAAGACGTGCTCGGTTCGCACATCAAACTATATGGGGGAATTCCTTCTCGTTGAGATAAGCCCATTAAAATGGAGACCTGAGGTGGCTCGTCCTAAAATCCAAGAAAGTAACCTCTTCTGGGCCGCGGATATCACATGAGGCATCTTCCAAAGATGGCGCATTCTCCAGCAAAATCGCTTTTGTGTTGTTCATTGGTTTGCCCACCCGTTTTCCTACACAAATACCCTCTTCTAATTGGGTAACGGGTTCCAAAAAAAAAGATTTTAAAAATTTCTCAGACATGTTATGCATCCTGGTATTGCTGGCAACGTAATTTGTCCCTGACTCTCTCATCCTGGTATTGCTGGCAAAGTAATTTGTCCCTGACTTTCTCTTATACAGCAGCGAAATGATCAAAATAGGAGTTCCTCTCAGTGAGGATGCTCAGCAAGAATACCATAAAGTGGTAAACATGAAATACTTGATCCGCAATGTATAAAAGTATGGTCACATTTTGACTGGTACAGAAGGTTACACCAGCACTGGTTATCCCCTCAAGTGCTCCCTCCCAGCTTGGGTAGATTCTGTTATTTGACCATGTAGGTGTATTCCTTTCATATAACTTTATGGCGTTGGGAAACTAATGCGATATCGTAAATATTGTTTCAAATAAGACTTGAAGAAGGACTCCTGCGGCACATCTAGTAGGACTGCATCACAAAGATAGCTTCAGTTCGCACTCAGTTGAGTTTTGCATCACCACAACTCATCTTTACCATAATTTCGATCCATAAAGGCCCTATGATATTTTTCGTCTTACTTATTCCAGATTTAATCGAATTCTGGTTTCTAAGTCGGAGGCCCACGTTCGTGCTGTGATTAACGCTTACGCATCAGTGAGCAAGAAGGACTTTGAGGATGCCCTTAAAGCCGAAATGAGTGGTGATCTCTTGAAGGCGTTTCTCTCCATTGGTGAGTCTTTATTTGTTTTTCCTACTGGCAATAAAAGTACGTCTTCACTTGGACCCAAATTTAGCTTTCGACTAAACAACGTTCGCACGTTGTTTCCTAAACCTGACTGAAAATAGAGCTGAAAAAAGCTTGCCAACGGTATAGTCATCATCGTTTTAAAAGAGTTTAGTAGAAAATCAGTAGGTTCATTCAGGCGGAGTCATTTTTGATGCGAAACTTTCTTCAGAACAAATGAGTAGGCTATGGAGTTGGCTGTGTTTCAAGGCAAGCAGAAAACGGAATGGCTGATTCCAGTCAACATACCAACTCCCACTGTGAGCTTTGACAGGGCTTTTTGCAGTTACTCGCTCCGGGAGTTAAATTTAGAGACCTTGTATTCTCTCCGTATGCCAGTCGAAAATTATTGATAGGTGGTATCTACTGTATCATTTTGTTGAAATTCCTTATAAGCGCGACCACGGCTGACAAAAAGGGATAGGCAATCGTTTCCATTTTTCACCTTATTTAAAGAAATTTGACGAGATAATGGTCGCAGGACCAGAACGAATGTTGGTCATCCTCGAATGCGTAGATCGACCTTGTGGTTTTTCTCTCTGTGGCTTTCCGACTTAAAAAAGGCACGCTATCATTCCGTCCACCTCGCAGTCAATAAGCATCACTACCAGTGAAAGGAAAAAAACTTTCGCTGCGGAGAAAATGCCAACTGAACAGTTACAGACTATTGGACAGGGGAGTAGAACCCTCTTATGCATCTTGTTTACAAAACTGAATATCCATATTCTTCTTGAACGCGTCTTCCCAAAATTTCCTGGATATTCATTGACTGTTACTCAATTGCAAGCGAATGCTATGGAGCGCTCCACAAGAGCCGCAATAGATCTCACCTCCACAAGAGCCGCAATAGATATCACTTTTCAAGAGGCGCAAAGCGGGTCTACGAGAGAACATAGTACTCGCGTGCCCCTCACCAGTAGTATCACCGTTATACCAGTATGCGTGTGCCCCACCAGTAGTATCACCGTTATACCAGTATGATGGACCTTGATATGGACGAATCGCCCACATATCACTTGAAAGGTTGACGACTGTGTTTTATAAAGGATGTGACCATAAAAGTCACTGGACGACATCTAGCCTGGCATCAAATTACATCCTTTTTATTTCCGGCATTGGTTACTTTGGAAGGAGTCATATTCTTCTCCAAGACACAACAACGAGAAAGATAAATATCAAATAACACTAAGTGGATTGTTTTTTCCCGTTTTCCAGTCAGATGCATCCGAAACAAACCAGCTTATTTCGCAAAGCAGTTAAAAGAAGCGATGGAAGGTGCCGGCACGTCTGACCGACAATTGATTCGTATTGTGGTCAGCCGGGCCGAAGTTGACATGGCGGACATAAAAAGGGAGTTCCTTCAGGCTTATGGAAAATCCCTAGAAGCCTGGATATCGGTAAGTTGGTCTGAAACGCGCTAATATGCGCTGAGTATCTTGGGGACTGAGACTGAAAGTAACGGATTTCAGTTCCCGTGTTTAGTGTTGTTTCGTTCGACAGCTCCTCTACCAGTATGGTGGTAATGCAGATATTGGTCAACCAGTTCTATTTCACTCGCAAGTCAGTGAGCATCTAACCCACACGGAGAAATATGAACTACCGTGAAGTTTGCACACACCGTCGCCATACTGTGGTAATGCAGTGGATACTGCAGTTAGACTTGAATGAGAACCCATCGTTTTGTCTTGGTTCACAATGTCGATGAACTCTATCTAGAAGGTGAGGACAACAATCTCCTATCAACCTCTGAAAGAGTGAAGCCAGCCAATAAGGAAGCCATCGTTTACTCAAAGCTTAAATGGCGCAAACTATGCTCGATACTCATTGAAAAATATTCTACCGTATCTACATCACTTTCTGAAAGCCACTGACATGCTTCTCCCCTTTTCTTTTAACACCAGGATGACACCAAAGGTGATTATAAACGCATATTACTTGCCCTCATCGCCTAGGCTTCACACTACCAAATGTCGGGATGCAGCTGCAGTATCTCCGATTTTCTCTTACTTATCAATGCAAGTTGTGCTA